TTTCCACTGGAAATGCCTTTTGGTTAAACTGTCAGCAAGGATTTGCATTTGCACTGTTAATGTTTTATATAACTTTAATGCACTTAAAAGGGCTACTTGTTTAAGTGAAAATACATTGATTTTTTTTTTTTTTTTGCACTAATAAAGTTGAGGAGTTGTAAAGTATTTTGTCTAGTGTCAATTATATTGTCAGTTATATCGTTATCGCAAATTTTCAAATGTATATTGTGATAAATATTTTTGGTCATATCGCCCTGCTCTAGGTGGGAGTCACCTGACACCCAACGATACAATATTATCACAATGAAATGAGATGGTAAAGCAGACCAACACTGTCAAGAAAACCTGCTATAAATGTTTCCATCAGAGGGAGTCAGTCTACTACTAGTCTGATATCAGTATGCAAATGAATGGGGTCAAGTTGGCAATTACATGCAATCCGGTGACCTGTGCAATCACCTTGTGATCAAAAGACTTTGTGAGTCTGAAACACTGCCAACCAACCTGTGGGTGACCGTTTAGTCACCATTGCAGAATGTGAAAATAAATTCAACACAATCACCAGGAAACAAACAACTTTTAGTAGCGTCATCAATCGTTTGATTTCAAAGTGCTTTAACTCAATTCAAATGTGTACTGTAGAAAGAGGGAATTTGTGACTTTTATGTGCTTGCTGGAAGGTAGCATGACAAGAGCAACGACTGCAGTGACTCCAGACATGCTTGCAGAAGTATAGGACAAGTATGACTAGCAAATTGACATATGGACACTGAGCACTTTGTAACTGTTGCTATAAAACTTCATATTTAGCCATGTATTTTAAAATCTCGCATCTAGAACTATGTAACTTCTATATAGCCTTTTGAAATCGGATGATTCTTTTTTTAAATACTCTGTATAATAAGAATGTCATACATTTGATCAGCTGCATTTATAATTCCTATCACTCTGCTCGTCAGTGCATCCAAGAACATTTCCAAATCAGAGCCAAACAACCAACCAACAGCCAGGCTGTGACAACTACATCTTGTATGCGCCGGCTTAAAGATTTATATTGTTGCAATATTACATCTAGCTTGCTCGCCTTCAGCAGTCAATCACATTCTGGTCAGTACTGTTTAACAAATGGCTCCATGGTGTATTGTTTTAAACCTTTGTCTAACAAGTAAAAGAGTCCTGGTTCGATCCCAGGAGGAGATAAATCCCTTTGGGCTGTTGTCAGTGGAACAACTCTCAAATCAACCATGAATAAGGAAACAACAACAGCAGCTTATTTCACAGGCATGCAGCTCCCCGATCTAGTAAATCTTGAATAACCAGCTGTCAGCCACCGGTCCTTTCATTCCCACGCGACTTCGGTTTTTAAACTGCAGGGTCGGATGACACGGTGCAATCAAAATGGAGCGAGTTCCACTTTTATTGCACCTCATATACCCATTATCTGTTCTCTTATATCATCTAATAGCGCTGGCTTCATAATTCATCACTGAATGTGAGCAAAGTTTTACTTCATTTGTATATTTTACATTCTAACTTCCCATACAGGAAAGCAGTGCCTCGCTCACTCTCTCCTCTCATCAGTGTGTATTCACAGAGAAAAAGAGATCTAACCTTACATAATCCTACCGCTTTGTCTGTAGCACACCGTGTGCTTCATAAGCAGGTGCTATGTTACTAAAAAGTGAAGCAAACTACTCATCCCGCCTCCTTCAGCCTGGATCAGTTCATGGGAAGAGGCACTCAAAAGCAAGCGTTGGACTGAAACACTGAGCCAAATCAAATTTCACCTTTACTAACTAAACACATCTTTCTTGGAAGCACATGCACAAATACATTAAAGCACTATGAAGAGCTCCATGAGTTGGATCCCCAGGAAGAAACAACACTCATATTACACTGAAGATATATAACATGGAAGAAAACTTTAAATATGTTCACTGTGGGTATCCAATGGTGTAACAACTGAAAAAAAATATTGGTTTCGATGTGTTTCGAAACTGATCCACAGAAACAATGCACATTAAATCTTTGTGGCTGCCAACATCATCACCATCCCAATGTTTTTATGTGTCTAATATAGAAGACAGACGTTTGACGCCCTTCCAATTAAAATGACATTCTGATTGGAAGCGTGCTGTACTCTCAGCCATCAGCTTTTGGTGCAACTTTACCTTAATCTTTCAGTCAAAAAAAGTAGATAAAAAGAATAATTTAAGCAATGTGTTTATTAAATGTGTGTAATTGTTGACAACTCCTTGGATTTTGAATCAGCTCTGTAGGTCTATATTCACCTTTTAAATCATGTCTGAGGTATTTCATGGTCCACTCCACTTCAGGGGCGAGTTACTCCACAAAGTTGAAGAGGTTAAGTATCTAGTGGTCTTGTTCACGAGTGAGAGGAGAGGGAGATCAACAGACAGAATAGTGCTGCGGCTGCAGTGATGCGGAAACTGTACCGATCTGTCATGGTAAGGAGCGAGCTGAGTGTAAAAGCGAAGCTCTTGATTTACCAGTTGAGCTATGTCTCTACTTTTACTCATGGGCTTTGGGTAGTGACTGAAAGAAAGGGATCCCGGATATAAACAGCGGAAATGAGGTTTCTCCGATGGGTAGCTGGCCTCTCCCTTAGAGTTAGAGTGAGGAATTCGGGCATCTGGGATAGGCTCAGAGTAGAGCCACTGCTCCTCCGCATCAAAAGGAGCCAGATGAGGTGGTTTGGACATCTAACAAGGATGCCTCCTGGGTGAGGTGTTCTGGGCATGATCCATCAGAAGGAGGCCCTGGGGCAGAAACAGGACACACTGAATAGATTATATCTCTTGCTTGGCCTGGCCTCTGTGTTCACCCAGTGAAGCTTAAGGAGATGACTGGGGAGAGGGAGGTCTGGGATTCTCTGCTTAGGCTGCTGTCCCCGCAACCCAGCCCCAGATAGAAGATGGATAGATGGATGTTTATTAAGCAGAAAATAGTGGAATGGTCATGACCACTGGTCATGAAATCCCAGTAATGACTGAAAGAGGGAGAAGTATGTCTGGAGTACCCTGGTTAGCCTGTTGCCACCATGATCAAACTTTATGGATGGATGGGTGTTCCTATGTGCAGATTTTCTATCTTTTGAAACCTCAAATGTTAATACTACCATGACTGGAAACCACTTTGGGTCAACTATAAAAACAGCAGCAACCTTACATAATTTGACAAAGCTGAATCTCCTGAATATCTCTTTTTTTGTTCATCTTAAATTAACTCAATTTAATAACAAACATTTCATTGCTTTTCTCTATTGGATGCAGTGTTTTTGGTGAAACCAACAAGCAATGCTGAGCATTGCTCATTAGAAAAGTTGATTACTGCCTAAAATGGTAAGTCTGAAATCATCTGAAAGTAAGGAGCAATCATCTTTTCAGAAAATAATTTCTTTGGATCTCACAACTGGACCTTCTGGTCTGAGGTCTGGCGCCATGTGTCCCGTTATTGGTCCAATGAAATTATGCTAGCATCTGTTCGTTAAGGTAATGCAGATTCCCCCCCCCCCCCAATACCACAGCCTCAAAACCCATCTCTAGGGGAAATGGTTATGCTCACCAAAATAACATTTTCTGTGAATTTATCCCATGTTCATAAGAACAACAGAGTAGTAACTCGATTAAACTATCAGTGTCAAGAACAAAACAGTGTAGAAGAAACCTGATGTACAAGTCAACCTTCATATGGAGTTACTGTGAGTGTAATGTATGAATCAAAAAGTACAAAATGATTACATAGGCCTCATAACAGCAAAGACACACAATGCCTGACACTGACGCCTTACTGCTATTAAAGTCTGGATATCACTTTACTGAAATGTTCATTACTTAGACATTTAGTAAGAAATATAAAACCATTAGCATGAATGCCTTGTGCCATGTTTAAAATCAATTTTGAACACTATTCTAGACCTTTCTGCAACTCATAAATATCGCCAATAAGTTTAACATAGCAAAGTGTTCATTCTTTTATGTGTTCCCATCTCTTTCCCTTCATACTCAAGTGAAGCTGCACTTACTCAACTTTAGTTTTTTAACTGTACAAAGTGAACACATTTACCCCACTTACACTTTAAGAGAATTCTGATAACATATAAAACACTCCACTGCACACTCATCTCTGAACTCAAAACAAGAATCTGATCCTCTTTCTGTTATTAAGTCTTTCTACTTCAGGGGGAATCTACGTTGTAGCTATAGCAAAGCCCCTACAAAAACCGACCAACATAACATGCAGCATAACTTAACATGCGCCTCTCTGAAAATGTAACTACATGATAACAATAACTGGCTCTATATAGGGGTTAATAATCATAGTATCAATATAAGGACTCACAAATATTATTCATTGTTATTCACAAATCCTGGGAGCAGATTGCTGAAACTATTGGAATGGAGGTGAGTGAATGTGTTCACATTGAGAGGAAACTGGGTGGACACAGAAGACCCGCCTAAATAAGGGCCAAAGCTGTTGTCTGTTTTCTGAGACATCTACTAAATGATGCTCAGGATGTTGCAAGAGTCTGTTGTGGTCAGGCAGGTCTGACGTTAGGTATCAACGTGACTGTGGAGTTGGACTCTAACAGAGGTTTGGGAAATAACGAAGCTGCCCAAGTTATTGTCGATATCGCAGAACTGGCTATTATGCAATAATGCTTACGCTGTGCGTGGACCGTGCAGCATGTATTTTTTTTTTTTTTTGAGTGTGCTGATTGTTAAAGGTTTTATACTCAGCATCTGCTCTGTGCATTGTGAACACCACGTCGGATTTTAATAATAGCATTTGAGGCACGTCGGGCTTATTAAACGCATATTTAAACTGTCGGGGGAGTTTTTGTCGCTGATTTTACGCTGCATTCATTTATTGAATCCTGACGCAAACTTGCTAGCGACTTACATTTCCTGTCACTCTCGACTCCGTCATTTTCCGCATGTTAAGTGAGAAAGGGCGAATGCAAATTACAGACCTAGTTTTTAAAGGAAGTACAACTTCCACTAGTACTCCCAACTCAGTTTAAAACTAGTGGTGATTGTAAACCCTTCTAGCCTATGATCCAGATAACTTCCCGCTATTAAAAAAGGCCGGCAGAGAAGATTAGACCGACTTCTTTGCCTTTTGTGTCATTACCACTCCGAGCAATGTAGCTCTGCGCGCTTCCGCACGGGGCATCCACCATTCTGTAAGGCACACAAAAAGCAATGTAGTCACTAATTAGTGGTTCATCTCCGATATTAGCCATAGGCGGGAATGTTCAACACGCAAATTATACCACATCAACCCCAAAACGCGCTCGCGCCCTGTTAACACGCAAAGCCAACGGTTTTTGTTACCAATGATTAGGAATGATAGCTCTGTTAGCCCCGGCCCGACACACACTCAGTGAAAGAGGAGAGGGGTGAAAAGCGCGTCTTGTCTCGCCTACTTTAAATCTCCAGCTAACATTGTTATGTAAACGAAACACTCACTCACCATGTAAGAAGAGTCCGCATTAAACTAGTTGCCGGGCGGCTCCACGTGTGCCAACAGAGCTAATGACGACGAACACGCATGATGCTGCAGATGTACATGCTAGCATTAGTGTGCGCGTGAAAGACACGTAGCGACGGTTAACTTCGACTGAAACGACTCCTGTCCGCGTGCCCACCTAGTCTCTACATCTACAAAGGTAGTGAAACCTCTACTGTGAAGTCAGGCAATTTACCTTTTAGCTGAAGCGAGCGGTGACTCAAGGACCGTCCTTGGGATTTCCAGTCACCAACTTGTGCCGCTCCACATTTTAGGCAAGCAACATCTGTAGCTGGCTCCTCCTAGCCAACCTCCCACCATACGTGACCCTATACGTTCAAAAGCAGAAGCCTTTCCGTGAACAGCAGAGAACATTGCATAAGGTACTTTAATAAATAACAGAGGAAATAACGTTCATCGCGTGTGGCATTTCAGGTGAGCGATGAATTGATCTGTTTGAAGAGAAGACAGTAAGACAGTTGAAGTTCTGTCAAGCAATGAAAATGGATTTTTCTTTTTCTTTAGATCTGGAGACTATGGGTGGGTACACTGTAATCATAAAAGATGGACCAATAATCACATTGACTGTAGCTTTTTAAGTAATGTTTAGTTGATTTTAAAGGGCTCAAAGTGTGCCAGGAAAATACTCCCCACACAGGGGCGGATCTAGAAGGGTGGCATGTGCCACCCTAAAATGATCACTTGCCACCTTGGTTTTGCATATGACAATGTTCTTTATTAAAATAAGATAGCATTAACACTTTGAGCCTAGCTACAGATAACCCCCACCACCACCACTACCACCACCACCAATATTAACAAATGGTTCAGCCCATAGCACAGAAAATTGTTAATTTAAGCATGTAACAATTAGATTTTTTTCTAACAAAAAACAGTGAAACTTAAGTTAGACTTGTGTCTGTAAATGAACCGCCCATGTGGTATAGCTTTTTGTGAATTTTGATTGTATAAATATATTCATTTATTTCTTATAAAGGCTATAAAGTGCATAAAATCAAAATGCACATGTTTTATGTAACTGAAATGTTTATTATGAGGGCTACAGAAAATAATTAAGTTATAGTTAAGTTATACAATATTTATATAATATTTATATGAAACATGTGTATATTTACTGCATTTGAATCATTTTAACCATAATGGGGTGGCTTTATTTCACCACCCCATTTGATTTCCATGCCACCCTAAGAAAATTTCTCTAGATCCGCCCCTGTCCCCACACCGTTACACCACCAGCACGAGCCTGAACTGTTGAGCCTATACCCACTATCACAGGGCGAGTGGCAGGGTACACCCTGACAGGTTGAAAGTCTTACACAGGGCAAACGCAGAGACAGACACCCTTTATTTCATGTTATTTACTTCACATTTTTCCACTCTTCTGCTGTTCAGTTTTGGTGAGCCCACAGGAATTATACCATCAGTTTCCTGTTCTCAATTGACAGCAGTGGCACCAAGTGTGGTCTTCTGCTGCTGTAGCCCATCTTCAGAGAGACTTTTTCACCCAACTGCTGCTCACTGGATATCTTCTGTTTTTGAGACCAAAATAATTTAAATCTTCTTTCTTTCAAATTATGCTGATTAATTAAAACTTCAGCAGGTCGACCCGTACTGATTTACAGCCATGTGATTGGCTGATCAGATATTTGCATTAATGAACAATTGAACAGGTTTATGTAATAAGTAGTAACTGTACATCAATAGAATCCCATAAATAATAAAACGACAAATAGAAAGGATGAAGAGGCTCAAACCGTTTACTAGGTTAAAGTTATTTTACTTTAGCCTAGTAAATGGTTTGAGTTGTAAATTGTGTTGGTAGGCCTTCACATTCATAGTGAGTGGCGATTGTGGCTCAAGAGTTGGGAGTTCGCCTTGTTATTGGAAGGTTGCCGGTTCAAGCCCCGGCTTGGACAGTCTTGGTCGTTGTGTCCTTGGGCAAGACACTTCACCCGTTGCCTACTGGTGGTGGTCAAAGGGCCCGGTGGTGCCAGCCTCGCCTCTGTCACTGTGAATGGGTGGTATAGGTTAGGTTGTGTAAAGCGCTTTGGGGTCCTTAGGGACTAGAAAAGCGCTATACAAATACAGGCCATTTACCATATGGCAACAATTTGAATTTAATGATATCTGAAGACTTGTATCTTGACAATGTATTTATTTTAGGATAGCCGTCTAGTTCTTTGTA